TTCTTTTCTTTTCTTTTCTTTTCTTTTCTTTTCTTTTCTTTTCTTTTTTCTTTTCCTTTTCTTACCAATGATTTCTTTCTTTTACAGATGTTGAAAGATTAATATCGAAATAGCTAACAAGCTTTGAGCAGAACAGATTGACTTACATTCAGGGAAGGTTTTTGATGCCATAAATCATTCTTTCATCTTCCCTTAATCTAATATCCTAGAGCCCTCTCAAAACTTTCAGCAATAGGCATTCACTTCTGAATTTCTACATTACGAAAATGGTCACTGATACTTGGAAATACTCTAAACTAGAAAACAGATGTGCAGTATCTACTGTTTGTCAGATGTAGGCATAAAAAATCATTCCATCTTGCTCACATGGTTTATGCCATTGACTGTAACCATTTCTTTTGCTATTTGTGTCTGTATTTGAAGTCTGCTTCATCAAAAGGTCTTTGAAGCCAAGAAAATATTCCTCTTGACATCAGTTGAATTTTGATTGTGTCCTTCAACTGTAAATTATTAAAGAAAGAATGACTGTTCAGACCCTCTGGGTGATAATAAATAAAATATTGTTTTAATAATAAGTGTTCAAGGCCAGGTTGGATGGGGCTCTGAGCAACCTGGTCTAGCAGAAGGTGTCCCTGCCCATGGCAGGGGGGTTGAAACAAGATGAGCTTTAATGACCCTTCCAACCTAGACCATTCTATGATTCTATGATTCTATAATAGCTAAATTTCTAAGGTTGCTATTTTATGACCAGGTCCTCATTATCAAGCTGGCTAAAAATTAGTGAATTCGTACTCTACTTGTTTTAAAATAATATTTTTAAATTTTAAATTAACATTGCAAGGTATTTAAACTAATTTTAAAATAAAATCAATTTTGAACTAATAGCAACCAGACTCTGATTACTACAGAGACAGAGAAAGCAAAATAAAAATCCTCTCAGGATTTACTGCTTTCACTCATGAAAGCTCTGTTTTTTCCAAAGACTGGGAGACACTGCAGTGCCATGGTGAGAAGAAGATCTGAGCCTACAGAGAAATAAAAACTTCAGAAGGATGCTCTCCAAAATCCCAAAGGAAGGAAATCAGGGAAACAGCCATTTTTCCATGGGGCACTGACAGTTAGGGAGCAACTACTCTTAGCTGGGACAGCTGCAGTTGCATCAAGAGTCGTGCTGGAAGCTGGGAGCACTGGGTGGGTTTCCTCTCCCTTGGCATGAACCCACACACATGAGGTCAGTGCCATGACCCCTCTTTATCTCAGGGACTCCAGCATTTTGGTCTTCTCTGCATGGGACCAGGGCCACAGACCTTCAGGGACTGGGCTGTGGACACTGATTATGGAAATGCTCCACCAGAAGCCTTGCCCTCCTGTCCAGCCTGTTTTCCCTCCTCATGTCCCTTGCCCTGTAACCCAGCGAGCCATCCCTTGCCCAGCCACACACAGACAGTAAAGCCAAGAGGCATCTGATGAGTCCTGAGACATGGCACCATGTCCCAAAAGCAGTCAATACACTGAGAGGGATGTATGGATCCCACAGGTCCCTACAACAGTGCAGAACAACCTCCTGGATTTAACTGAACTTTTCCTGTTAGCTTAATAAGCAAACTGATAAGAAGAATTTGAAATTCCTTACTAACTCACGTCATGTTTGCCAGGCAAAGTGGGGAGCTTCATCCTTTGAACTCCTCATTAAGCACACTCTCCCTGTGTTTTATGTTGCACACTGACCCTGGTTACCCATCCCAGACCACCTGCAAAACTGCTTTAACCAGCCAGGCAGCTTTAGGAGGAAGAGGTGGTATCTTTTATTAGATGAGAGATTAAATATTTTATTTAAGCAGGGGAACTTGCTTTTTTTAGTCCCAGTAAAGGGAAACCAGACAATTCTTCCCACCCACGGGTTCTTCTGTAGGAGGAAAATAGAAGCAGCAAACTTCAAGAAAAGTGCAGGTTGGAAGTAGTGGAAGTCTGCTGTGTTACTCCAGAGCTTGAGAGAGAAAGCAGTGAGGGATAGACAGAAAAGGAATTAAGAAAGAAAGGAATTAAGATATTAAGAAAGAAATGAGTGTCACTTTGACAAGCTGAAGGATTTATCCAGAGGAAGAATTTTCTAACTGCAAGAGTCTCCCCTGAAATTAATGACCCTATGGAGCTGAAGAGGTTTCTCACTGCCTAGAGCCTGTTTCTGCACCACCCTTTACAAGGGCAGCTTGCTCATGCTAAGGACACTTAACTCTGTTCTGGCAATATTAAGGAGCCTGGAATTATTGCTGATGTTATTTTGCAACCCCTGTAATGCCTGTTAATGACCCCTTTGGCAGAAGCACGTGTTTTGTTTGGCTGTACTCTGCTAGAGTGCCTACTCCTTTAAAAGGGAGCAGGCAGGAAAAGGCTTATTTTTCCTGGCCTCAGCACAGGCTGCCGGTGTGGGAGGTGGGAAGGGAGGGAGACTGCAGTGCCTGGAGTGTTTAAGGAGAGGAAGGGGAGAACAAAAAAGCAGCCCTCCTCAGGGACAGGGGGACTGTCAGATGTTGCTGCTGCAGCCAACCCTGAGGGGGGTGGATGGAGACATCCCTCTTGGCCCAGGGGCACCTCAGAGAGAGGTCACAAGGATGCTGAGTTGCTGGACTAAAAACAAAGTCAAAGGAAAGGTCCTATCTGCAAACACACAAAAAAAGGGGAGAGATGTAAGAAAGCCTTTTCCTTCTGTTTTGCCTTATCTAGAGTTTTCTCCCATTGAAAATGTTTCTTGTTCTAGCTTCTGTCCCAACAAAACCTGGGGTTTACAAAGTCCTTCAGGTGTTTTTGGTGTGCTCAGATGTGTTAGCAGCTGCCAGAGCACCACCAGCAGCCTAAAGGGTCTCCAGGCAAACAAACACCTAAATTAATGAACCCAGAGCCTCTAAGTGTGCATTTGTACATCAATACAAACATGTAAATGCTTTGCTCATTCAGTCTGTGAATGAGCCCCCGAAAAGGACTCTTCTGCCAGGTTCGTTTTAAAATTTCATCCAAGAGATTTTGCTAAAAGCTTCTTGGGAAAAAAAGGCAACTAAAGGAAGCTAAAGTCATGGTGAAACAGCTGTCCCCAAAAGGGACTGCACTGGAAAGGACAGATTGGCAGGCTGCTTTAATTTGGCTGCCACCAGGATCTGTTTGCAACAGAACAGGGCGAGGAGATTCTCTAACAGCCTTATATTAGAAAAGTAAAAGAATATTATGACTGGACAATTTAAGTGAGGCTTGATCAGTTTATTTAAAGGATGATATGGTCTCTGAAATAGGAGGAGAATGGGCTGGAATGAGTTTTCTTCCAGTCCTACATTTCTGCCCTATGATGAATGAACAAATAAATGATCACGGTGTGCATAGATGAAAGATACAGGAAAGACAGAGTAATATAAGGTTAAAACTGGCCTATTAAGCACAAGGAAGCCAAGGAACTCCAGATCATACACATGATCTTACCTCATGGTGAACCCAATGTGCTGTAATACAAGATTGACAGCACTTGATGTTCTCAAAAATTATACTTAAACCTCTGCTTTCATTTAACATCATGAATTTATAACAATAATGACTGTAAAGAAGCACTTACAAACATGAAATCTAAGAGTTGAAAATGAAAAAGCAAATTTTAAACATCCAATATTTATGTATGCGTTGGGGTTTTTTGTTTGGTAAGTTTTCTTGTTTGCTTTTTTTTTTTTAAATTTCAGGATGTTACAGTGGTTTCATTTTTAGCCAGTTTTTGCAAGTAGTGGGCTGTGTGATCCTTCAGTATGGAACACTTGAGGCTGACTACATTGCAGTAGCAGGTGATATCATCCCTGAATGAAGGTGGGAAATTGTTTTTTTTTATATCAGTTATTATTAGCTACCTAGAAATTAGGCATCTAACCTAAATTAACCATTTAGTCTTTATCCAACAGACACAGAGAAAGAAAGTTATGTCCAGGGGGTAAATCTTCACACTTAGGTTTGGTAAGTTTTTTAGGATGGAAAATGTTGCCTTCCAAGCATGTCTGTGTCTCTCTTGAATGCTGAGGGACACCAGCTGGTACTCAAAAATCTCACCTAACTTTAGGCATGCAAATAATTAGTTTCCTGGTCCCTGTGCTTGGCACGGAGCTTTCCATATTATCTGAAACCAAGATTAACATGCAGCCAGACTGCAAAAGCAAAACAGCAGAGGTCCAAGCAGGATAGTCACAGCACAGAGATTGTGTCTGGATCAGATCCACAACTTAGCGATGTTAGTGGTGCAAAGCCAATTCTTCACCAGCTAAATGCTCCTGATGTTATAAAATGTGACAGGAAAGGAGAAAACGCAGAAGCTTTGCATTGCCTTTCCCCTTGAAGGCAGCCACCCTGAGCACACACCCATGAGCAGGCATGCTGCCACAGACATTACCTTGTTCCTAGCTTGCTCTATAAACTCCAGAGGAGCTTTCCCGAACTGAAACGCGGCTCCAAACCAAGGGATCCAGCTCCTGATGCAAGGAGGGCAGCTCGGGTTTCTCAGCTGAAACAAAACAGCCTTGACAATAAGGAGCCCCAGGATTGCTGCCAAGAGGAGAGTGAGATCCATTTTGCCTGCTCGCTGCCTGCCCCGGCAGCTGCTCAGTGCACCGCGGCACCGGCATGACCGCGCATTCCGAGTTAATGAATAGGCCCTCTGATCAGCCCCGCCAGCTGAGCACTGCCATGGAGACAAGATGTCAAAGCACCAAGCGGCCCAGCGGACAAGCCCTTGTTCTGGGAAAGGCAGAGCCAATTGTGCTCTGTTCTGGGATGAGGACCAACTTCCACGGCTTGCAAAACTGAGATGTTGCTGTGGCAAGTCCTTGGACTTTGTGCCTGTTGCTGGGAAGCTGCTCAGGCAGCCAGGGACATGGCCTGGGACACTGGCAAAGCAATGCAGAGCTTTCTTCAGTTAAAAAAATTACTTTTTTGGCAATATTGAGATTGCAAAGCAGAAAGGTTGTGATTCACAGACCTTTAGTTTTCAGCAAGTCAGATGGCAAGAAACTGTTGCAGGCATCATCTGAAGTAGAAACTTTATGAAAGGTATTCCTCACCTGCCTGAGATCATCTCAATAGACTAGATGTGTGTCCAGTGTCTGAGAAGCAAGAGGTTGAACTGACAACTCAAAGCCTGCTGGTCACCTGTGTTATATCACTGCAATGTCAGAAGACAAGGTTCAGAGGTCAAATTAGTTTCTTTGCATGTGTGGAAGTGGCACACCAAAATTACACATAGAATTCATTAAGTATAAAACGTTCCCCCTAGGAGGTGGTCTCACAGCCTTCCCCCACACACCCTCAGCAAGAAGAGAACATAAAACCAGAAGGAGTGGCTGACAGACCAGATGAGTGTGCTGCCATTCAGAGGGAACTCAACAGGCTGAAAAAATGGGCAAACAGGGACTTATCTTAAAAACACAGAATACCAGGTTGGAAGGAACCTCAAGGATCATGTGGTCCAACTTTTCAGGGCAAAAAACTGACTTCATGAAGTGCAGCAAAGGGAAATGCCAAGTTCTGTCCCTGGGTGGGAACAACCCCATGTACCTGGAAGGCATCTGCCTGGAAAGGAACTTTGCAGATCTCGTGTCCTGGTGGACACCATGTCGAACACAAGTCAGAAATGTGCCTTTGCACTCAACAGCACCCTAGGTTGCAATAGGAAGAGTGTTGCCAGCAGATCGAGGGAGGTGATCCTCTGCTCCGTGCTGGAGAGATCCACTAGGAGTGCTGGGTCCAGTTCTAACCTTCCCAGTGTGAGAAGACTGGAGTGAGCCCAGTGAAGTGCCAAGGAGTTCATAAAGGGGCTGGAGCATCTGTCATTTGATGAGACGCTGAAACAGCTGGGACAGCTCAGTCTGGAAAAGAGAAGGCTCAGGGGGATCTTACCAGTGTGTATGGACACCCGAAGGCAGGGTGCCAAGAGGATGGAGCCAGGATCTTTGTAGTGGTGCCCAGGGAAAGGCCAAGAGGCAGTGATCATAAACAAATAGAGAAAAGTCCACTTATTTTTTTTTTTAATTGTGATGGTGGTCAGGCACTGCAACAGGTTGCCTTGAGCAGCTGGGGAGTCCTGGGAGACATTCAAAACCCAGCTGAACACAGTCCTTAGAGCCTGCTTGAGGTGACCCTGCTTTAAGCAGGGCTTAGGACTAGCCGGACTCCAGGTCCCTTTCAGCCTAAATTGTTGGGGTTTTTTGTTTGTTTGTTTTGGTGGGTTTTTGTTTGTTTGTTTTGTTTGTTTGTTTGGGGTTTTTGTTTTTGGAGGTTTTTCGGGGGGGGGGGGGGGGTGTTTTTGTCTTTTTTTGCTCTGGCTCTTTGTCCAAACCTCTTGTTCTTCTCAGTCCCAGGACCTGATCCTCCTTGCTAGGCCCAGACTCCTTGCTTCAACAAGCTCTGCTCACCTTTTCTAGCCTTTCGTCTGTTTGTTCCACAGTCAAGCAACCAGCTCTACATCCGATCACAAGAGCTGTGAAAACCAGATCTATATCCTTCATTAAACTGTGATGTTGAAATACCTTGAGATGTTACCTGTCAGTCATAGCTGCAGAAAAACAAGCCCAAATATACCAACTGTGTCAAGTAGGATGCTGATATCTATTTCACAAACTGTCTGGAACAAACAGCTAAATCACTGTTAACTGTGGTATTACTACACTTCTGTGTTTAGCTGTCACAGCTCTTTGTATGTTTATTTCCTGGTTTTAGTTTATCCATTAAATTCTTTCTTGTCCTACAAATGAGTATGTAGTGATAATATACTCCAATATTCCAAGGTCTTTAGCTCTGTTTTCATTGACTGAGTAGTGAGTTTAAAGTGATCTATGTATACAGGTAATACAAGCCCTCAGCCCTATGTGAAGACATAAATTAAAGGCTTTTGTGTTTGTTTTGGCCTTCTTGTTGGTTTGTTTTTGTTTAGCTTCTGCTTTTGGAGCAAGATGTGGTGAAGGACACCAGATGCAACTGCAAGGCACTAATGTGAGGAGGACAAAACCAGTATGACATTGCAATAGTCACTACCAAGCTTTCCTCAGACTAGGCCCTAGTCCTGGGCAGGTACTGGTTAATGGCCTTTCCAAGTAAACTAACACTTGCAGAAGCAGCTGAGACGACTGGGCAGTCTGGCTGCCTTTCTCCATCACAGAGAGAACAGCCCTACCAGGCCCTGCTGCTCTGTTTCACATCCCATCTGAAGTCCACACTCTCTCCCTGCATATGTAGCCTTTGATCAAACTGGCTTTGGAAAGAAACCAAAAAATGCGGTCTCAAAAAATGAAATAAATGAGTAGGAAGGGTCCTCTCTGCTGGTGCTGTCTCTCCCTCGGGATTTGGGGTATATGAACTCCAGCTATGGACTTCCATGAACACTGGCCTTTCTCTGCTCCACACGTCACAGAGCTGTCCATGTAAGCATCCATCTCTAGTCAGGCTCATTTCAAAGATCCTGTGAGAAGAGAAAATTCTTCTTTGTTGCCATCCCTAAATCAATTTCATTTAAAAAATAACCTATTTCCTCAGAATAAAAATTACCATGGAAAGCTGCTCTTTCCATCTGCAATGCTATGGGGTTTATTTTAAGGAGAGATCTAGTTGTTGTGTTCCACTCCCTAAAACACGGTTATAGAGAAAACAGAATGAGACTGTACCCAGAGGCGCACAGCTAAGGGATGATGGTGAAATCCCCATCCTGGGAGATTTTCAGGTGACCAAACAAAACCTTGGGCAACCTGATGTACCTCTGAAGCTCTCCCTGCTCTGAGTAGAGGGTTGTAGGATGACTGTAGGTGACCTCTAGAGGTCCTCTCCAGCCTATATTATGAATCGACGATATGCAGGCTGATATGTAGTGGCCAAGCCCAGAGAACAGTTTTGGAAGGAGGCAAAAAGTGCCACAGCAGATTTCATGAACTGTCAGGAAAAAGGCTCTGAACCACTTGTACCTTCCATGCAGCCAGGCATGTTTGCATTCTTCCCATTTTTAACCAGGGTTTTGTCAGTAGTTTGCTTTATCACTGCATGAATTCTAATGAATTTTAACCCAAAAAAGGATGCAGTTTAATACCAATTACTGGTGAGTGATGACAGAAAGTCATCAAACTTTAGCTGAATATTTCGCCTGCAATGCTCACTTCATTTGTCTGAATCCTTGCAATGGGGACCACACATCAAAATGTCAGGCAGTCAGAAAAGTGTGTGGGGAGGTGGTCTGGAATAATTTTCTTTGACCTAAAAAAATCCCCAAATCCTCAGCATGAGGATTACTGACTAATGGCTAATGATTAACTTAGGGATTCAGCTGAGCCTTAGTGATAAATGAAACACCTCTCTCAAACAGCATATACCTTTTTTTTAATGATGAGGACCTAAATATGTCTACATTAATTTAAGAGAAATTAGGACTGGCACACAATTAACAGGGCTTCAGCATTCAGCCAGGAAAAGCTTTAAACTTTTCACTTATGGGGCTCTGGGCAGTGATCAGCTTCCGTCATCCCGAACTGCACTGCTTCGTGCCTAATCCGCAGGAGACGCAGATTGCTGAGAGCACTCCATCACCCCAGCTCGGCACGTAGCTGCTGCTAATGCAGTTCTTTTGAACCAGATCTGGATCACTTCATCCCTTATTGATGCCTGTGCAGCTGTTTGACATGGGAATGCAGTTTGGGGCTCCCGAGGCGCTGCTGTCAATGACAGCACCCCGTAAAGCAAACACCCCCCCCCCACATGTGCTCGTAATCTCGAGTGCTCGTTAATGATTACACTTTTTAATATAGATCATAATGGACAAAATTGTGTGTGTGACTGTACCTGCACTACCGGTTTCCTGGCGCAGGGCAGCGTCGGGGACAGACTACATTTCCCAGGAGCCTGTTGAGCAGGATTCTCTTGTGTCACTGCAGAAGGACCTTCCAGCTCTGCAGGAGCCACTCGGGCTGCTGCAGTTCCTGGTACTGGCGCTGGAGAAACATGACCTTCAGCAACTTGTCTCCTAAACGACCCAGAACTGAGCTGTGCTAGGGTCTGCTCTCGCTCCAGACAGACCCTGGGTGGCTGGTGAGCCTCGGTTCATGTGAGATGCTAGATGTCACCTGCAGAAGAAGAGAAGAGCTTACCTCTTCCACAGAGATGGCCCCGAGCCAGCAAATTCGCTCTGTCAGCCTGTGCAGCGGCTGTGGCAGAACTAGGTACAACTCACCCTGATTTTCCGAGAGGGAAGGGGGTCAAAATTTACTTACGGGGGGCAGGGAAAACGTCAGTCCCCGGATGCCTCATTCCTCAGTGTTCTGCTCCAGCAAATCTGTGCATTTCACTGTGCTCACCATGACTTTTCTGTAATCTAAGCCTTGCAAGTGCTTTATGTCACCTGAGTGTGGCTGGAGGGCGGGTTTTTCCAGATGAAATCTTTGCCAAAGGACTGCAGTCATTAACACAGAACAGTTGTGACTGATTTAAGCTTTGCCGTTGCTGGGTTTCCAGGAAAAGACTAAAGAGGCAGGGAGATCTGTTGCCTGAGTTACTAGCAAGGGCTGATTCCTTTAGGAATTTGCTTTTCATAGTTAATGAAAGTTAATCAAAGAAAAATCGATTCTTATATGACTGGTTACAGTGGAGATGGCTTTAAAAATGGAGATGGAAAACTACTTGCTGAAACGTGGGATAGAAGCACTGTGTCATCTGCATAGCACTGCTTTGTGATCAAGTAGCTTATTTG